CCTCATGGTGAGAAGGTCCCGAAAAGGTGAAAAGCTGGAAGACGAAATTCTGCCGAGCCGCTGTCTTTAAGGATGAAACTGTTTTCACTTTAATCAGCTCCGAATGTGTTTTTTCAGCTTGATCAGCGTCGTACACCAGACTTTTCCCGCTTCAATACATACTCGCATCATCGGCCACGAGCACCTAACACTCCTGCGCCAGCTTTTCATGTCAAGGTGGAAAATCTTGCGTCAAGGTAATTTTAGATTAAGATTGATGCACAGTTATAAATCTCAGATTTCAGCTCTGAATCTTCACCGTACGAATGTGAAATGGATTCGCAAAAGAAGTCAGTCAATCTTCTCTTTTTTTTCGAGAGATATTAGTAGAATTTTTCAGCAGCGCGCGATCCTCTGTGAGCTCTGCACCGCAACCGGAGAAGCGGTATACCTTTAGGTATGTTTCTCATGGGCTTCTATCATTACTGTTCACTCTGAGAATTTGGTATTTTGCAGAGATGGAATCCTTGTAGAAGTTTCCGATCTGGACCTGCCACCAAGAAAGGGCGCACCACCGGTTATTAGAAAGAGGCGAATTTCTGAATCACCTGAAGTTGGTGACAATTATCATTCTTTCCTTCGCTTTTCTGCCGCTATGCCTTATAAGGGCTTTTATTGCAGCAAATCTTTTCTCCTTTCTATAATTACAGGTTGTCGTCCCTTCCTCACGATCACGGGATAGTTGGTCTGCGGAGAGAGATACCGAGCCTACGACTTCACAAGAGGCACATCATGTCCATTTTGCTGACCCCGATCCCGAATCCGCCACTCCTAGTCCCACACCTTCCGCTTGCTATGAAGTGGAGATCAGCCCTGGCGATTCATCACAAGCTGTGCCCCAAGAAGTCGTGTCCTCTGTATCTCACGACACACCAAGACCTAAAAGGATCTCAGCTCCGCGTTTGCGAGATGATGTGGATCATGGCGGCGTAGATTGGGATGTACCGGAGATGTCCCTCCGACCAAGAGTTGTACCTCGTCGTGATCACCCGTACGAAAGAGCGACTCCTGTCTATAGACCTGTCAGCCCAACTACGAAATGTCTTGCGTTGAACTCGATGGCGCAACGATTGGAAAAGTCCGCCGAAAGAAGCTACTCGGCTCGTGCAGCTGGGAAGAGTGAGAATGGTAAGTTTGGAGCATTAAGATTTTTTTTTCATGACAGATGAAATTATTAAGAAGTTACTCGGATAAGAATATGGATTGCCTTACTCAACTTGTGGATTTTCTGACTTTCACAGTTTTGATGTTCAGGTACTAGAGCTGGCTACAAGCTGGTGCCTACTTCCAGAGAAGCCACTCATGTGCACCCCTTTGACGCAGAAATGATGGCTGTGAGTCGTTTTTTCTTCGCTTCTGTGAGTATGAGTTGATCTGCTGATTTTATTGATCGCATTTTTGCACTGTGCATTCTTTAATTAGCACCTATAGAGTAGGAAACTGAAGCTGAAAATATGTAGTGGATTTTAGTCATACTCGAAGTATAAGTGATTCAGTAACTCACACTCACATCTTTACCCGCGCATTACCAACGCTAGTGCTTTTCCACCTAAAAAATGAGGTTGTTCAGAGTTTGGAGGCGGCTGCAGCATCTTTTTCGGGGATATAGTGTTACTCGGTTTATTTGAGTGACTAAACATAAATTTTGATCCAGAAATAGCATGATACATTCCACCTAATTTTATAAGTCGACCTCGACCTTTCAGGAAGGTAAAGATGTCACTCTTATGAATGATGTCGAAGAAGGCTCCAGTGAACCAGGTAAAGCTATTATATTCTACTTACCTGCAAGTCATAAATTGGTTTCAGCAACTCAGACCCCGATTGTTACTTCCACCAGTGTTCCTCGTCGCATCTATGTGGTGGTACGATGAACTTTCTTTATGGTTTTGTGTTGACCAACAAGGAAATTTTCAGAAAGCTACAGTCCCTGAACCTTCCCAAAGCACGTCAGAAAGCAGCACCAAGTGAATCACTGCAGCATGAACTGAATGGCGAGGAAGTTTACCAGTAGCCGTCAGTCACGAAGAAAATCATGCATTTACTTTACTGTGCTTTGTATACACATTCTAGGTTGCTGAAGAGCGTAATAAACACTTAGCGTAGTGATACACAGTGAGTAATATTGTGTTGGAGCCCAAATTTATCTGTTGCAGTGTCACATTTGCGCATGCAGATTATTTCCTGCTCCGCGGGAACGTTCAGCGTGGTGCCGAAAGCAGTGAAAGGACAAGTGTTTTTTTTTTCTGATGAAACCCTTTCAAGGATGACGCTTAGGTATATTTCTATCCATATTTAACCAGAAAATTATCGAAACTTTTTGAAGCGGTATGCGCGTATTTTGACATTTTATAAGTTGTCCACTGATTGAGAACAATTAGTTGAGTGGGAGGAAAAACAAGCTCCAGTGTGCTGGTCATGTGAGAGAACTGCGTAAATGGACATTGTTGCTTGAAGACATTATGACCGATGTGTTGAAGAATTCAAATCGATATCACAACATCTTATAATCCTCGAAACTGCAGGTCTTCTGGTGCAGCTGT